CTAACAAGAATAAAAAAAACGCGAATTACCCGTTAAAGAACATATATTGTAATATAGAACCAAGAATGTCGCGTGAGCACGTGCCCTTATTGCGCGATATAAAGATTACTGGATGAACCTCACGTGGTACTTCAACTATCAGTTAAAGATAGAAGCTACATAAAGCTTTTTTGCAACTTTATTAGGTCTTTTCTTTAAAACATAATATGCTGGATAAGGTCAATATCTTTACGGCGGTGCTGACGCGCATGTTTCATAATTTACTAACTATTTCGTTTTATAGGCATCCGTTGAAAAAGAGATTGTCGTAGTGACTGAGCAGGTACGGTTGAATCCGTTTTTTTGCTTTCTACTTATAAACTGTAATAAATTTTTACTCTGACTCTTTAGGAGGTCGCAAAGAATACAAAAGCAACTAAAGAGCCACCTAAGGGTAAATGGAGGCAGTGGAAAGTATCAATATATGCGATCGATGAAACAGGGGAAAAGTGTCCTCTAACTTTCGTTGAAAAAGTAGAATATAATTTGCATCAAACATTTCTTAAACCGCGACAAGGTCTGTTCGATTATGTTTAAGTGCATCACTCTTCTCATAGAAACCATCAAAGATTGATTGTATCTCAGACGCTAAATATACAAAAGAGCATACAAATAATTTAGTAAATTTAATAATGAACAGTATTAGCTTACTAGTAATGCGAAATTAATTTCATTTTAGTTATTCCTAAAGCACCATTTATACTCACTGAAATTGGCTGGGGTGAATTTGACATGAAAATAGTATTTCATTTCGTGGATAAGAATATTCCGCCTTCGTCCATATACCATGACCTCAATTTCCAGAAACCTCTCTATGAAGTCTCTTATACATTGGTAAAATAAGATGTGCCTCGCGTGTTTTTTTTCATAGAATATATCAATACTAATTGAGTCATGGTATTGGACAGAAATTCGTTAATCCCGGTCCGTCTTTCCGTAAATTATTGTTTCAAGAGATACCTCTTGATTCACCAGCCTCTCAAAAAACCACACCTAGCAGACAAAAAAAAATCCAAATCTTCAACATCCGTGTCCAAATGGCAGAGAACAGACTCACCAGTCACTTCAACATATGAATCACCTCAGTCTTCGCGTTCTTCGTGTTCAATAGGTGAATCTACAAATGACAAAGAGAATTGTCAAGTGCGTTATATTATGTCATATTTATTTAAGATTTTCATAAATTATTATATGGTATTCTAATTTGCAACTTTTATATTATTTGACAACTTTAAAGGTAGATTATAACAAGCTAGCCAAGAATCTTTACGATTTGGAAGGTGATGATATTCTTGAGGTGATACATCTTGTAAAAGAGCATCGAACAGGTGAAATGTATATTAATGAAGATATTGAAGGTAAACATTTGAAGGATGTAAGCTCACAAAATTGTATTTTATTTACGGTTAAAAATTTTAATGTAATTGTAGGTGAATTTCATCTAGACCTACATACTCTTGGAGACAATTTACTGCAAATTTTATGGGATTTCACAGAATCAAGACTTCTGAAAACTATGTCTTA